CTATCTATCTATCTATCTATCTATCTATCTATCTATCTATCTATCTACCTATCTATCTATCTATCTATCTATGTATATGTACACATACATATAATTTTTTCCCTCCAACTACCCTAATACTGACAAAGGTCTCATGAGTTACAAATATCATCTTTCCATGCAGGAAGGTAAACAGTTCAGCCTTAATAAGTCTCTTATGATTTCTCTTTCCTGTTTACCTCTTCATGTTTCACTTGAATCTGAGAGTCACATTTTCTATTCAGTGCTCGAAAGTCCGCTATTTTATTGAATGACCATTTTTTCCCCTGAAGGATTATACTCAGTTTTTCTGGGTAGATGATTCTTGGTTGTAATCCTATCTCCTTTGCCCTCTGGCATATTATATTCCATGCCCTGTGGTCCCTTAATGTAGAAACTGCTAAAACTTGTATTATCCTGATTGTGTTTCCACAATATTCGAATTGTTTCTTTCTGGCTGTTTGCAGTATTCTCTCCTTGACCTGGGAACTCTGGAATTTGGCTACAATATTCCTAGGAGTTTTCCTTTGGGGATCTCTTTCAGGAGGTGATCAGTGGATTCTTTCCATTTCTGTTATGCCCTCTGGTTCTAGAATATCAGGGCAGTTTTCCTTGATAATTTCTTGAAAGATGATGACTAGGCTCTTTTTTTGATCATGGCTTTCAGATAGTCCAATAATTTTTAAATTCTCTCTCCTGGATCTATTTTCCAGGTCAGTTGTTTTTCCAGTGAGGTATTTCACATTGTTTTCTGTTTTTTCATTCTTTTGGATTTGTTTTACAGAGTCTTGATTTCTCATAAAGTCACTCACTTCCAATTGTTCCATTCTAATTTTTAAGGAAGTGTTTTCTTCATAAGCTTTTGGACTTCCTCTTCCATTTGGCCAGTTTTGCTTTTTAGGGCATTCTTCTCCTCATTTTTGTACCTCTTTTGCCATTGGGGTTAGGCTATTTTTTAAGGTGTTATTTTTTTCAGTATTTTTTTGGGTCTCCTTTAGCAAGCTGTTGACTTGTTTTTCATGATTTTCTTGCATCACACTCAGTTTTTCCTCTGTTTCTCTTACTTGCTTCTCAAAATCCTTTTTGAGCTCTTCCATGGCCTGGGACCAGTTCAGATTTTTCTTGGAGGCTTTGGATGTAGGAGCTTTGACTTTGTTGCCTTCTTCTGGTTGTATGTTTTGATCTTCTTTGTCACCAAAGTAAGATTCTATGGTGTGACTCTTTTTGCGCTGTTTGCTTATGATCCCAGCCAATTATTTGAGTTTTAAACTCTTTGTTAAGGTAGGTGTCTGCTTCCAGTGTGAAGAATGCACTATCCCAAGCTTCAGGGGTTTTGTGCAGCTGTTTTCAGAGATACTTCTAGTGACCTATAAATTTTCAGTTCTTCCAAGGTGGTATGATCAAGGGGGAGGTGTTTATTCTTTTCCTGGCCTGTGCTCTGGTCTATGAGTGACTGCAAGCACTCTTCTCTGTCTTACAACTATGAGGAGGATTTCCTTTCCATTGCCACTACAAGCTCCACCACCCCAGACCTCCTCTTCAGCCCAGGACTGCCATCTAGAACTGTGACCCAGATCCAAGCACTGGCAAAGCAAGAGAATCCTGCACCAGCAGAGAGATCCCTACAATCCCCCTCTGATCAGCCACTTGATATTCCCCCTTTAGTCTGTGGGCCGGAAGTTCTGGAAGCAGCTGTAGCCCGGGGGGCCAAGCATAGGGATTGGGGCTAGAACCGCACTTCTCTCTCTCACCACAGACACAGACTTTTC